GTTTTGAAGATTGTATTTTCATTTGATTGTATCCAGTTTGATCCACCTTTAAACAAAATTAAATTGCTGCTTTTACATGTGTCCAGATCCGCAGCAAAGTTGTTGGTTCAGTTGTCTGTCGGTTGGCCCAAACGTATTACCACAATACACACACATGAACCTGATAAGCAACAATATCCAACACAGAGCACCTCAAACCGTTGGACTGAGCTCACATGATTCTGTTTAAAGGGGAAATTTATGAGCTGTAAATATCAAATCATACGGTAAAGAAATCTGGGAATAGGAGGCATGTGCAATTCACTTGTCATGTTAAATCAGGCGCTGAAGGATGATTTCAGAACTTTTTTTCTATCAGGGGCAATCTGCAGCACTGACGTTTTAGCAGCCAAAGGCGGGGATCAGTGATCAGAAAGTGTCCCACCCACAGCCTGCAACAGACAGAAGCAACTCTGGTTCCCATTAGCAGTGAGAAGCCCCACTTCCAGCACTGCTGCTTCCCTCACATTCACTTTATTACTCAGCTACACTTTGGGAGATTTCAGATGGCACCAGGCGAGCACTCACGAGCCACTTTGATTTGCTTTATTTATTTAGTGTGTGTGTTTGTGCGTGTGTGTGGAGGGGAAGGGCCATGCTGTTTGAAGCTGTGTCATTCAAGTGTCTGCTGCCAATTAGATCCCAGTGTGCCGTTTATTTAATCTGACTGTGCCGAAGCAATCACTCTCAATTATCACATAAACTCTGACATAACCGATAAACCAGCAATGGTGATCCGGGAGGGGAACGCGAGCGAGGTAGTAAACAGACTGAATTACCCTTACAGTTCAGTTTACTACAGACTAACTCTGTTTATCTTTTCTTGCTCCATTCTGCTCACGGTTTTGATATATATAAACTGCAGAGTCAAAAATAAAACATCACTGGAGGGGGCAAAGCTGAGATTGTGGTGACATGTCAATATTTACAGGGCTGAGAGATTACTTGTTTTGGTCTCTGTACCAAAACAGGACAGGAAAGAAAGCATGAAATTAGGGAGGGCAAAGAGAGAAAAATAGAGAGAGAGCGAGATGAGGAGTTACAAAATAAGGACACAACAGAGGAATAGAAACCAGAGATGATTGAGGGACCCCCAGAATAACAGTGGGATCCGACCACTTCCTTCCCGGGAATCCCTAACTCAGGCTGAAAGGGCCACAGGACTACCCAGCGCTGAACCTTTCCTCTCTCCGTTCCCTTCTACTCCAAAGGAATGCTGGGTGATCCAACACAAACACATCCTACCCCACACGCATACTGTACTTACACACGCCCAGACCATTGTACCACTTAGGATCTGCTAACAGTTTCTCGCCCCCAAGCCACCCAAAGTACCATACGTAACTGTGAGGCAGAGCTTTTTCTTTGGCTGCTCTGTCTCTGGAGCTTTTGGTACCCGATGCTTACCTTTCCAAAGCTTCCAGCCTCATGCCCGATAATCGCTTCACTCTGTGGCTATCTGGAAACTGCTTCCTCAGTTCCTGTAGACAGGTCTGCAAGGATGTGGGCAGAGGAGAGAGACCAATTATAGTTGGCTGTAACTAAACTTTGTTACACTCTTGCTCTCACACTCACACACACACACACACACCTCTACAGATACAAACCACCTGTCTTGAAAATGTCAGATTCTGCCTATGTATCAGCAAAACAAACTTAATATATTGATATAAAAACAGACTGTTAAAAGGCAAATTGCAGTCTTGGATGTGTGGTACTACTGTATGTTACTACTGTATGTTAATCATTTAGGCAACCATGCTCGCTACTATAAAAAGCAGAGTGAGGATGCTCTGCGCCACTTCCTCCTCTACACGGAGCTTGAACTGGTTTGAGCACATAGTAGTGAAAGAGGTGCAGAATTCTGAAAAAGTCTGCAGTGTGACCTGAATCATTTGCGCATTTGGTCCTTCTGCTTTTTTTAAAGTCTGGCAGCAGAGCTGAAAGGATAGCCAACAGACAACTAATTCCAGTGACTGAGTTCTGTCTTTTCTGTACTCAGTGAGTCACTCTTTTTGCCATGGGAGTCGTTTCATACATACTGATTGGAGATGAACCATTTCAATTACCGTGGTCTTTTGTCTTTTTGTTTTATCCCATGCAGATTTGACCATTTTCAGAGCTATGAATATTTCAACATGAACTCAGAAACGTCACATTAAGCTTTAGGATGGCAAATAAATCCTGAGGGAAAAAGCAGTTGAACTCTATAAACGATGGCCAAGTTCAGCTAACACTTGAAGCATGCTTCTCCACTCATTTGCTACACCCTCTAATTCCAACTCTCAGCAAATTGTTTTTCCAAAGTACAGACAGAGTAATACCCTTTGGCCAAATAAAAATCAGATTTTCACATTTGGCAGAGGGGGTGCTGCAAAGTAGAAATGGCTGTGTGAGAGTGAGCGATGGCTTTTGAAGCTCTTGGGTGTGTGAGGAAGAGCGGTAAAAACTTACCAGAGCCAAGTCATCCCGACTGCAGTCCAGAGCTGCGATCATCACCTGCTCATAAATAATCCATACTAGGCAGAAGAGACAGACAAAGAAGACTGTGTTAACGCCCTTTCCATTCCACTGTCTGGTGTAACATGAAAGTAGGATATATTGAACTGTACATTTGACGTCCCAACTTAAGAGTGTGTCCCCAACAGCTGCACATCGTGTTTTGTTAGTCACACAAACAAGCTTCCATGACGAGAATCAACAGCTTAAGATTTCATTCAAAAAACTTTCCCCATCTAATTTAGTATGTAAGGCTACATTTACTATTCTCTGTATGGAATACACTGAAGATAATGTCGCCTGTTGAAAACCATACACTAGTCTAAAACTTGGACAGCACAGCAGTAATAGTAATAGTCATAAATGCAGGAGCATTTCAAGTAAACGCCCTTGTGTACGGCTTTACAGTCATGTTATAGATTTCCCCACAGTGAGCTGGTAATAAATCATGAATCAATTTCAGTAACAATGTTACATTTGAGAAGATTAAATATAACTCTCAGGGAAAATAAGTTGTTATGTTTGTTATAATCACCTCTGAATTTCAGATTGAGGTTGAACTATCTGAAAGTGGGCCTACACCCCCACCCACACATGATTTTCCTCATTATTAGACGCTGTCCTTACATGGTGTAGGAGTATAACTGAGACATGGAAAAGGTTATCTTTGAAAGTAACAGAGGAAAAAAGGAGTCACAAGTTGGGCAGTTAAATAAGGCCAAAGCTACTTTTTAGAAAAACTTTGCTAACATTATTAAAAACACTGCTGATGCCTTGTGAAACCAAAGTAGCTGAACTAACATTTCTGTACAGGTCATGCTGTTTCTCATCCCTCACTCTGGGTAGTGTGACGGTGTTAACAGTTACTCTAGTTCACATGCCAGAACGAGTTTTAACAGCGACATGTGGTTGGGTTAACAATATAATACGTCCGTTTTCATATAAAATAGAAAACATGCATATATTAGTTTCAACATAAACACAATATAACATTTATTTGTCTCAGTGAGTGACAGTAATGCATTAGCAATACGTTTACTTAAAGGTTCTAAATATCCTGAAACTTTCCAGCACAAACAGAATTATTTATGAATGTTTACATTAAAGTGAATTATGGATGGGTGGGTGGTGATTACATGTCTATAAATGCACAGAATCCTCCAAAAGGCTCTGAATAGTCCATTCTTAAAAACAGACTCTTGCACATCTCTGCAGCTTGCATTTCTACGTTGGCTAGATAAACCATGTCTTGCTACTAATTGGAACATTAAGTTGTAACGTGGTCGTAGTTGGTCACATAGAAAATTGTACCAATATTAGACATCTCTGCTTTGTCCACTTTCTTCTGCATAATGCTTATTGAGACAACTTTTGAGTAGAGACCTTATGGTTGAATATTGTCACATATGATCGATAGACACGTAAAGCCAGTCTCAAGCAAGTCGAAGATTTTTAGCACCGTTATATTTATAAACTAACAAAGAAAGGCATGTTGAGCAAAATCATTAACTGGCACAACCATTCCTTTAACATGTTTCACTTGGTGGTTAGCTATAAAAACAAATGAAATGTATTTTTCATTCAGTCAACTGTAACATTTTAACATACTGACTAATAGCCTGGCTACAGAAGCCAATTAATGAAATTAATACAACATGTTAGACAGACAGCTCTGACAAGCAAACTGGACATTTTCAGCCAAATGAACACCCCCTGCTAATTGAAAAGAATAATAAAACTCCAACTCCACCCAAAAACTGGCAGGTTATGCCAAAACAAACAAATGCCTCCAGTTTTTCTTGACTTAAATGATTCCAACTCTTGTTTTGATAATTGCCATCTCATTTCACAGCCAATTTAAGAGCTGGTTTCAATAAAACCATGGCATGTTAATGTTTATCCGCCTCTTCTGAGGACTGTATGAATCATAATGACTAGGGGGAAAGGGAGAGTTTATGGGGTAATGCAGCAGGACAGTACTGTTATAAAAGAAATCATGACCTCCAATATGTTTATGGAAGGTAAAAAATAAATCTTTAAGGAAACCTAGGCATACTGTACTCCGTGCTTTAATAAGCTATTACTAATGTGCCTTTCACACCATTACAATTACGGTCTTGTAAACTTTATCTCTGCGTACAGTATGTCTGAAATATAAATCATATTTAAATTATTTGCTGCTTTTACTAGTTATCTACTTTATTTCTGGTGACACTGCCTACTCATCATCTAGGTCACCACACCAGGAAATATGGAAATGTTAACCTGTTTCCACTCAATGCTTTTCCACGTTTTTCAAGTTAAGTACTTTCCCTCTTCCTGTCCTTTTAATGCAAGCAATCTTGTATTTGTGGATTTGGCTTTTCAGCCATGACTGTCTCTATCTGTGTTTCCCACATCACAGGAAACCTAAGACCCTGTTCAGAAATGTATCCAATAGAAACATATATACCACAAAAGAGGGGAGAGAAAAATATCCAGCTCACTTAGATCAATCCTATCTCACACAGTGAACACACAGAACCCACAGTCAATAACATTGGCCTGCTTGTTTTTACAGGCGCTACAAAGCAGAAGATCCTCATTCCAAAAATGTTTTTCACTTCAGTAATATGAAGTGAGAGATGTCTTTTGTGTTTTTAACAAATGTCGTAAACTAAAGTGAGCTCATCATAAAGGCCTTTATTTTCTCTACTCCAGCGCGTTCACAGTCTCTTGTTTTAATGCATTCAAACAAACTAAGACATTCTCAACTTGTTGTCTAATCTCATTTCTAACGGTCCATCTGAAAATAACAAAGCGCCTGATGGCCAACTCCTCCTCAACACCATCATCCTGGCTCAACTCCACCTGTTAAAAGGTTCTGTGAAACACACCGCTTTATTCAGCCTTGACACACTTACTGTCATCTCCCAGTTTAGATGAATGTTCACCGATGAGCTCTTCGCCAACATCCACAATCTGCTCACTGTTTCTGTAGTTGTCTTCTCTCCATTTACGCAGCTTGTCTCTCATCTCTGTGGACAAAGATGTGAACCATAAGGACAGCTGTAATCTATATCAACAGCAGCTTTCAGCATGATGTATCAACCCTGGGTTTTAACTCTGTGCAAGTCTGTGCAATGCACGATTTGGGATGAGACCATGAAAAGCAAAACACACGAAGCTTCGCTGTAATGTGCATTAACCTTGTTGTGATGTGTGTGTGATGGGACCAAAGTTGCCGGGGCTATTCAGTGAACCCCAAAACTATAAATCCAAATACGGTTAGGTTAGTGCACTGACATTACTACTGCACTATTATTACTGTGTTATTTGGGCTTTGCAGAACCAGAAATCTGTTGCTACGTAGCTACAGCTAACGTTAGCCGAAGCTAGCATGCTACAGACATTAGCTGGTCATCTGAAGACAGTTAAGTACTGCTTTACATCAGCACCACCAACAACTGAGATACAAATGGCGGACAGTGAGCTAACGTTAGTATGGATGTACTGTGTGGCTGAATCCGATAAGTTAGCTAAACCATGCTAACTAGCATTAGCTAACTCCTTGACACGCCGACTCGTATTTTCAGAACGACGACGACTCTCCGCCACAAGAGAGACGCGGAGAAAACAGCGACTGCCGTAAATATAGAAACATGTCTCAATGACGCTTGAGGAGAATCTATTGTCTCTTTTGTCTTACCTTCCCAACCCACATCGTACATCTCTGATACCGACGCCATCTTTTCTCTTTTGACAACATACGCCGTGCCTACGTCATGGACTTGCCAGCTGTGGGCGTGCCTGACGTTGGTAAAAAAAAAAAAAAATGTAATAATAATAATAATATTAATAATGATAATGTGACGTATGATACTGTAATAATAATCATTATTATTTGAATGTAATGAAATGTGATATGATTTATTTAAAAACATATCTATAGGGGGAAAAAATCACTTCATGTTTTGTCTATGGCTTGCATTCAAGTTGAGTTAACTGGTCATTTTGATTTTCAACCCCAAATTGAACATGTTAGGCACATGTGAACATTAGGCATAGGGCAAAAGGGATTTCTCTATACAATAAACCTACATTTGCATACCTATTTCACTGTTGCAGCATGCAGCACACATTTTCAATCCAGATGAGGACGTTCTCATGCTCCATTTCCATTTTTATATGATTCCTCTACTAAGTATTTGGTAGGACAATCGGCAGAGCCTAGAATCAGTTTCTTCCGAAAATATTAAATGTGCTTTCCAAGCACATCTACCATTTATACTGATTTCCCTCAGGAGCCTCTGTGAATCTCATCCCCTCCCTGTGTATGCTTGCTTACACACTTCTCTCTTACCACATTACACACTTGTTGATGTGCGCTCAGCACAAACTTGCTTACAAAGACATTTCAGAGATCTGATGTCATATCCAGTGCTGCTCACTGCACACAGCCTACTGTTATGCATACTTTGTCAATGTTCTATTGTAAAGGACAACAAGGAGATGGTTTTTTTTTCTAAAGGACACTGATACTGTAAAACAGCCTAGCATCATCAGTAATGGGCAAGTGCATAAGGGAACGATGAAATGTCATCATCTCTGTCAGGGATACAAATAATAACGCTGTGTACAGTTTAAGTTACGCTCAGCTTTGGCGATCTTTGCACTTGTAATTTTCAAGTCTGCACATGGCAGTCAGTTGATATGTGGTTGGGTTTTTGCTGGAACACCAAATACCAAAGAAACCACATTAAAACAATCATACACTGTCCTTTGGGGTAGAGGGCTTTCCCCTGTCTGCCAAGGTGCCACTGAAGGCCAGGGCCCCAACAGTGACCTGCAATAAACACCATGCAGTGGGTGTGACTCTTGGGATTTCAGGACATGATGGTAAAAGTGCTCTGTGAACAAGCTGTCTATAACTTTGAGATGCAGCTGGATGTGGTGGTGGTGAAAAACGCCTCTTGACATAAGGCGCCTGTTTAACTTGGAGCAGCTCTCTTGTACAGAAATGTCACAATATGGGAGATCAGTTGCAGCCATCTGAAAACCCAAATTGTGCTACTTGACTGGTGCTTACGTAGGTTTCCATGCTCTGGAAGCCCCCACATATGGCACACGGGACAAGCATATATATATTTTCCTTTTCAGTCTCCATGTATGAAAAAAAAAAAGAAATATTCCAGTAGAAACACTTCACAGGCATTATATTTTGATTTCTGACAGAAGCAATCAGAGTTGGCAATCTCTAAAATGAACAGTTATGGACTAAAAATTGAGGTAACGTTGAGGTGCTCTCTGTGGTTTTGAAATAGTTCCTGTTCCATCTAGATTTCTTTTTCGTTGGTGTTGTACAGTGAGTTGCGGAAAATGAAGACAGATGCAATTAGCAACAATGTTTGGACCCAGCCTTCTGGAGCCGGCGGCGCTGTGTTTACTTTGAAATCTGATTAGGTCCCCTGTCTGACCAAGTTGCTTTCACCTCACCGCGAATAACTCTGTACAGATGACTTAAGCACGCTTTGCTTCTGATGGACTCCCTGTATTGCACCTTTGACCTCACCCATATCCTGAGTGAGAGGCCCTGAGCGGGAAATTATGGCACATCACAATTAGGCTTCCTCACTCTTCTGCTCTTCTCTCTCTTGGCTTTGGTGCCAAGAACAATATTCAGCCCCATGTCAGAGCAGCACCACACTGGTAATTGATGTTACTCACACAGTGCGAAGCTTAGGATGTATTGCTCCCCTGACACCTCGTGTAGTAGCGTGATTGCTTATTGTGGATCGGAGTATTACCACATGTAGTATATTATGTGTTGGTAGATTGGTTTTAATCGCCCGTCGTCCTTTCTCGTTAAATTCGAACAAGGATTTAACATCACCATGCATGAGGATACCTCCAGACGACTTCAGCACTGCAGGCTATAGGTGATGGCTACAGTCATCTCGAGAACTGATGGTAATTTAGACTTAGAGAAACTCATCCTTACAAGCTCTTGAGACCATAAATTGATTTCCACATGAACATTCCTTTGCTCCTCTTGGAATTTATTACAGTAAAAAAAAAGGTCACATTCTAGAACTTTACATTCGAGCCTAATCTTACATAACCCTCGTGCAGTCTTATTAAAGAGAAAGTTTGATCTCTAAGAGAGTATTTGGCAGCGACTTGACAATTTTGACACCTCTGAGCCAAATATTGAAATTTTTTCTCCATCGTATCCAAGAATCACATCATCCTCATCTTAAGTTGCGGCAGCTGGTGAAGTTCATTCATTCCAGTCGCATTTTCTTATAAGGTTCCAGCTTGAAATCTAAAGTACTTCTGCAACCTCTCAGGGGGTCTAAACTGAGGTTTGACATTCATAGAAGTAATGCCTGTTGTTCACTGGTCTTACTTACTTTCCATTATTTCAAGAGTGGTTTTATACAGAGGCCGCCACTTAGCTAGATAAATACACACAATAGCAATTATTACAGAAATTTCAAATCCACAGGAGGAGGAATATTCAAATCTCATCCCCCCGTGCAGTGGAAGCCTGTAACTACACAGCAAATCTGGAGTTATCAGATTTCACTTTTCTTTTCTGGTTCAGAATGCTCATGACCGCAAATTTGGAGATAGCGCCATGTTCTCTGTAATGTCATGTTTTCAAAGAAAATTGCAGAGGAAAAGTCAAGTTATGCATAACGAGAGGAGCAAGCATGGGAGCGGAGCTTTGCTGAGGAAGGATTAGAGGGGTCAAGTATTGATCGACTCCCATGTGTGCCTTCTGCGATATTGCTGACGTGTGTGAGTACAAGTCACTCCGTGTTTGTGCGGCGGACATGTGTTGCGCAGATGTCCTGCCATGCTTGGTGCCATTGGGTGCTTGCTGCAAGTTTGTATTGTTTTCTGGCCCACAGGCCTGGTCGATAACCTTCATCCCCGTTGCCATCGGGTGTGACAGTGCTGAAGTCAGCACTGGGCACCGGATCAGGAGTGTGGGCCGCTGATTTATAACCTGACACACACTGGGAGCGAGGTGATGCATATCTAAAAAGTTTACAAAAGAATCATTGAAATTCATACGAGATGCTGGAATTCAGATTCAGAGCAGGGATGCTTGGCTTTGCAACATCCAGCACCGAGTCATTTGTCTCCAGGTCTTATTGATTTATATTTTGACAGATATTAGAACGAGGCCAGTGGTGGGTGTCTTTGGCAGTGTCATCTCCTCTCCCTCTCTTGGATTCATTTGTTGACCAAGAAAGCTTTCAGGGAACTGGAGAGCTGAGGTTTTTCATGGAATATTTGGCCCATCACTCCAGCGCCCTTTAAGTTTATCCCATTAAGGCAAGGGAGTATTTTCTGCAAGACAAACACGTAATGATGGATAACTGTTTTGCATGCTGAATGTGTTGGTGTTCCTGACAACATCCCAGTATTGAACCTGGGGATCATGTGTGGTCAAAGCCATCTCTGCCTGCAACTGCTTCATCCTACAATAACACACACATGCTTTGATTTACGGAGACAGCAATGGTGGATGACTGTTTATATTTACTCCACTTTTATGGGTTTTGTTTAAAATTTTGATAAGACTTTGTCCCAAACCTCTTCATTCACTATCCTGGCTGAGTCTTATGGGAGTTGCTGGGAACAAATCATTAGTTACATTCACCCTGCTGGTTGGGTTGACCGAGAAGCACCTTGGCAGGAGGAGATTACAAAGTTACAGAAACATCGCCAAGACACAGTTATGTTAGAGAGCAGACCACCGTGAACTGTATCCACACAGAGGTTGAATCTGACAAACAACAATCAAAGTGAAGTAGGGCTCATGTATTCAGTAACCGTGCACAATTGCACAGCCTTGGTCTTGATGGAATAGCTGTACATTTTGGGAAGTGCGCTTATTTCTTTGAATGAGAAGATCGACAATGCTTTCATATCTGTACGCTAAATATGAAACAGGCCAACAGCTGTTTAGCTTAGCTTCGCATAAAGACTGGGAAGGGGGAAACAGCTAGTTTGGCTCTGTCCAAAAATAACAAAATCCGCCTACCAGCTCTTCAAACTGACATGTTATAGCCTGGGGGGACCCCTCGTCTTTGAGGTTGATGGGTTGAATGGGTGGGGAGCACAACGAGGACAGTTTTCATAGGTACTGGTTCTTCAGTAGACAGTAGTCCCAATCATTTTTTTATTGCTGTTCCACAAACTAAACTCTATTCACCTCCACTGTTTTGGTGAACAGATATCTCAATTTGATAAAATGGCCAGATACCATGGACAAATGTTATATATATTTTCATCTTTTTTTAATTCATTTGTTGTCCCAAAAGACAATATTCCAACACAGTTGTGTTATGTGTGTGCATAGCATTTATGGTTCATGAAACAAAATAGAAGATGTATCTTTTCACTGAGGCCACAACAGTATCTGTAACTTATAGTCTTTGTAAAACAAATGGAATCTGTGCAGCTTGCAGTGTAGAAAAGCATTTAGGTTAAGAAAGCTGCCATAGGATTACAATACCATGTCCATTATCAAGGCCAACAAATATTCTTGTATAACCCCTTGTAAAACTGCAACTTGACGTTTTTACACTTCCATTTTTATACCGTAGTATAAAAACGATGCTAGCTGTTTTACTTGTTTCCCGTTTTTAAGCTAAATGAACCTTCTGCTGGCTCCAGCTTCATATTAACCGTAGAGTGGTATCAATCTTCTCACCCAACTATCAGCAAGAATAAATGAATTGAATGAATACATTTAAA